GTTGGCTGCTATTAAAATTATTGGCTTTGCAAATTTAGCTCTGTTAAAAATATTTTCTAACAATGCTTTATACACGCAAAGCTTTAAACAGTGATGTATTTTTGTTGGATACATAGAAATATGTAAAGTCTCTTTTTTTTTTTCTTTTTGCACTTACAACCATTGTCAGCTTTAACCACTTATATCACTAAATAACAACAGCAAAAAAAAAAAAGACTAAATTTTTTATAAGTAAAAAAAATTTGAAGTAGACTAACTAAATTACTAACCTGGCTACAATGTACAATACTTCGCAACAATGTCCTCGATCTGGTGTATAAAATAAGCATCTTAATAACATGTAAATATCAGATTCTAGTTGAACAACAGCTCGAGCTAGTCGATAAATCAAATACAGAAAAATTTCGAATACACGTGGTGCCCATGATGAATGATAAGGATTCATTAAAAGTTCAGTGCTTAGTACCAAATACCAAAGTGAATCGATGCATTCAGTCGATTTTAGCTGCCTGAATTCATCAAGAAAAAAGACAGATTCTTCATTCACACCAACATAACGACTACCATTTGGTGGTACTCGTTTTGTTGTTGTCTTCAAAATAGCTTCTTTGAAAAAAAAATTTTTCCTTTTCTTTGTCTTGTCTTCTATCTTTAGTGCCAGTTCTTCTATACCTTATGCGTTATTTTGTTGGGTGCAATGCTGAAATATGCATATTTTACAGAATATTTAATCAAAATAACTAATTATGACGTCAAAAATTACGAAAAATTGAAATGACAGGAAGCAAATATGGAAAACATATTTTCTTTGACGCTGAAACTTCTTCTGAATTTTGTAGCCTGAACTTTGTTGGAATCTGCACTTTAAGGTAATTCTATCTGAATGAACCGAAACAGTACTTTTAGACAGAATAAGCTCAAGCTGTAGATTCTAACAAGTTATCCAGGTAAAAAAGCTTAGAAAAAGCGATACTGTTCTGAACGGTGCCGTAGAACAGATATTAGTATGTCGTAATAAGCACAGCAAATTTGAGTACAATCTGGATTTTACAGCGGCAATTATCTTTAGTTCTTAACTTAAGCAAAAATGTTTACAGAAACCCTTAACTAGGTTAAACAAATTGTCCTTTTTTTTTTTTTTTTTGGCTTTCGTTTCCTTCGTTCTGTTCAGTACTTTCAGCCGACAAATATCAGCCGTCGGCTTTACATCATGACTTCTGCCTCATAGCTTTTCCATTTTTTTTTTTATTTTTTTTAATCTAGTATTGATGTGTTTTAGCTGCCACCTCAAATCTGTCTTGGCTTTGACATCATATCCTCTAATTGAATTGTCGTTATAACCAATCTGTTTTCTAACACTGAAGTTTTTTTTAATATGTTTACATATGTAGTGTAGTACTACTAACCAGTATCACTAATAAATACGCTTTAAAATCATATGTTCTGTTTCTGAGTTTTTTCTTTCATTTTTTTTTGTCAAAAATACACATTTATTGAAAACAGCAGCTTTATTTAAAAACTAAAAACTGTAACTGAAACTACTAACTGTATAAAGCAGTAGGAAAATCGGCTGTTTATAAAATGAGATCATTTAGATGAACAGTTTCACGTTTTGCACATTAGTCTCTGTAGAAGTTATTTGAAATGATCAAGCATCCTATCTTAAAGCAAATTATTAAAAACGTTTTGAATACTTTCTCTAGGAAAAAAGAAATGTAAGATTGAAGAAGAAGAAAAAATTTTTACGGCGTTATTTGCCAGATCAGGATAATTTAGTT